CTGGAACGGAAGTGCCGACAGTCTAGCGAGCGCCGCTTTGCAACAACAAGGCGGGATCGAGATCCAGGAGATACCCGGGTACCAGGATCTGGTTACCCTGAACCGGTTAGACGAAATCTTGATTCCCAAGACCGAGAATCCGGTGGTGCGAGTTGCTGCGGTCACCACTCGAGCTGGTCAAGCGAGATTACCTGCGGGTGTCATGCAAGAGGTCTGATCCGGGAGATCCGGGTCGATCGGATCAAGCAAGCCCAAGAGGAAGAAGTCTGGATCGCTGGCATGAAGAAGTATCTGAGTGGCTCGATCGCAGATCTCACACAAGCGGAAGCAAGGTCGTATGGCAAGATCGCGGCTGACTACGAGGTAGACGAGCAGGATCTACTCTTTTACTGCCCCCCACGCCGAGATCGGGAGACGATCGCGACCGATTGATGAGATTGGTAGTTCCCGAAACGCTACAATCAGACGTCTTACACCACTATCACACCACGTTGGAAGGAGGACACCGGGGAGTGGGGCGAACCTACCAGCGGATCAGGGATCACTTCCACTGGAGGGGATTATACCGGAGTGTCCAGCGATATGTGGGAGAGTGTGTGGATTGCGAAACAGACAAAGGAAAACCGGTGATCCGGGGCGAATCACCAGGGAACTTGCAGGCGACGTACCCGTTCCAGATCATTGTGATGGATCACATACCGTCGCTACCCAGATCCCACAAGGGAAACACAGAGTTATTGATCTGGGTAGATCTGTTCACAGGATATGTGATCGCGAAAGCAAGCTCGTCCCGATCGGCCCAGACGGTGGCGGAATCGTACGAAGAGTGCGTATTTCGGCGATTTGGTGCCAGTGAGATGATCCGGCATGATCGGAAACCCAGTTTCATGTCCGACTTCTTCCGGGCGTTTAATAAGATCCTGGGACAGCGGCAGCGTGCTACGATGGCATATCGACCACAGGCTAACGGGACTACTGAGAGAATGGTGCAGACCGCGACCAGGGCCCTCAAGATGTACGTCCGCGATCTCGATCAGAAGGATTGGGACAAATACGCTGAGCGCCTTACTTTCGCGATCAACACGGCTCACGATCGGATCCGGGGAGATACTCCTCACTATTTGGTGCATGGGTGGGATCCGAGATCGACCTTGGAGGCTACACTGCCGGTCGGATGTACGAGACGGCGCGATTGAGACGCGCGGCGGTGGCGATATCGAGTCCAGCGATATTATCAGCGATCCCGAGAACAAGTCAATGCCAGATTGAAGGAGGCCATCGCAGATCGGGCAGACCGACACAACGAGGACGTCGGATCACACCAGATCGAGGCCGGATCCCGCATCTGATATTACCTAGATCGGGTGAAGGAAGGATACGCGCGAAAATTGGCTCACCTCTGGCACAGGCCGTTCCGAGTCGCCAAAAAGATCAACAAATTCAGCGTCAAGCTCGAGATCGCAGGCACCGGGTACCAGCCTTCCCAGTAGTACACGTGTCGAAGTTGAAATTGGTCAAGGATTTCCCAGATCGGCCGCGAGTGGAACTTGCGGTGGACGAGGCGGATCGTCTCGATTTCGACGAGATCCTGCTTCCG